CGGTAGACTATCTCAAAGTCGAACCCCATAAGCTTCGAGACAAACTTTTGTTGCTCGGAAGTAACGATCCTTTGCTCTAGTAGATGCTTGAGTGGTTGCTGATCGGTCACAATCCGAAATCGTCGCCCTAGCAGATAGGGCCTCCAGCGTCTCACAGCTTCGACAACAGCCAGCATCCCCTTGACGTACACAGATAGACCTAATCGAGTCGTGCCCAACGCCTTGCTAAGATAGGCTAAGAGTCGCCCTTCTTGCACTAGTACGGCTCCAATCCCAATATCACTAGCATCTGTGTGTACCTCGAACAAGACATCAAACCTTGGCATCGCGAGTACTAGCGTTGTAGTCATGGCGCCCTTTAGTTTTTCAAATGCCTCCTTGCTAGCCTTGGTCCATGTGAACCCTCCTTTCTTGGTCATTTTCGTAAGTGTCTTGGCAATGGTTCCATAATCCTTTACAAACTTCCGGTAATAGCCCGTGAGCCCTAGGAACCCTCTGAGTTGCGTGACTGGTTGGCTTTGGCCAGTCGACCATAGCCTCTATCTTTCGTGGATCAACCGTCACGCCATTATGAGATATAAAGTGGCCTAAGTACTCGACCATCTCCTATCCGAATGAACACTTGGACGGCTTGATGTGGAACGAGTTAGCCTCCAAGACTTCAAGCACCACTCTCAAATGCTCCAGATGTTCAGCCAATGGCTTCAAATATACCAGTATGTCATCAAAGAAGACTAGAACAAACTTACGTAGATGCTCTTTGAAGATGGAATTCATAGCAAACTGGAAAGTGGATGGGGCATTGCATAGCCCGAATGGCATCACCAAATATTCATAGTGTCCCTGATGCGTACGAAAAGCTCTCTTCGATATGTCGGCTTTGTGGAGTTGAATCTGATGATAACCAGCTCTCAGATCGAGTTCGAGAAGTAACATGATCCAGCTAACTCATCGAGCATGTCGTCAACACTAGGAATAGGAAATCGATCCTTGATAGTCGCGGCATTCAGAGCTCGGTAATCAGTAAAAAACCTCTACGTGCTATCTTTCTTTTTAGCTCACAGTACTGGTGAAAAAAACGGACTCTCGCTATGCTGAATTAACCCCGATTCTCGCATCTCAGCCACTTGACTCTCAATCTCCATTTTCTAGAAGTGAGCGTACCTATAGGGATGGACATGCACTGCGTGCTGCTCATTAATCAAGGGTATGCGGTGGTCGAACTCCCGGTGAGGTGGTAGGCCCTCAGGTTCGCCTAGCACTCCTTCGAATTCCTCAAGAAGCTCGCGCACATCGGCTTGTTGCTGTCTGGCCTCTTCCGTGTGCGGATCCCTACTTTCGACTATTACCGCGAATATTTGACCACCTCTTCGCCAAACTCTTTCGATACTCTTCAACCCAACTTTTTTAGTTCCTTTCTCAGTGTCGGTGCTCAAGGTGACTTGCCGACCTCTAGATTTGAACTCCATAACTCCAGTTCGGTAGTTGGTGGTCACCTTGCCTAATCCTTCGAGCCATTGAACTCCTAGCACGACATCAGGTCCAACTAGGGGTAAAGCATAGAGATCAGCCTTTACCGTAACTCCTTGGAACTTGATTTGTACCTTTCGAAAGGATCTAGTGCATTGCAGCCTCTCACCATTAGCTACTCGTACCTCAAAAGGATCAATCTTTGTGGTTGGTAAATTCAGCTTCTGGGACAAATCAGCATTAATGAAGTTGTGTGATGATCTGTTGTCTACAAGCACCATCACCCTACGATCCTTGACCCAAGCTGGCAATCGCATCGTCCTTGTCCCTCTAATCCCCGCCATTGCGTGCATCGAAATTTCTGCTTCTTCTTCGGGCAATTCAACCTCATCCTCCGTTGTGGTTCCTCCTCGACCTCAGATCCTTCCTCATCAGATTTAGTAGCTTCGATCACAAAATCTTGCTTACATTGATGGCCTGGCGTAAATTTCTCTTCGCATTTGAAAAATTGGCCCTTCTCTCGTCGGCACTTGACTTCCTCGAGAGATAGCCGCCTAATCATTGGTCCCGGCGGCCGAGCGTTGATGGCCGGTCGTGCGCCCACGGTCGCATGGATTGGGCCCGTGCGTCGGTTATCGGTGAATCGACCGTCTGCCTGTCCCATTTGTGTTGCAACTAGATGGTCTTTGCATCGTCGGGCAACTTCCATAGCGACGTGTATGGTGTCTGGCCTCTCTAAACGAACTTCCGCAGCTAGATCGAATTTTAGTCCACCCACAAACGCTACTACCAATGCATCCTCAGGCCAATCACGCACACGGCATGCCAGTCGTTCGAACTCTCTGATGTATTCGCGCAAGCTGCCTGTCTGTCGTATACGCGTGAGAGCCTCGTTATAGTTATGGTAGTCTGATGTACCGAACCGTACAAGTAACTCCCTCTCAAAGATATCCCAAGTGATAATTTGTTGTCGTTTGCGGTAGATCCTTGTGAGCCATTGCCACCATACATTGTCCTCACCATCAAGATAGAATGCTGCGTACCTTACTCGATCATTGCTTTTGGTTTCATTGAGTTCGAAGTATTGCGCAATACGATTGAGCCAAGCCTCTGGATCACTACCCGTGAATGTGGACACCACAAATCTTGGCTTGTCGAGCCTCGGCCGCTCTCGATAATTGGATGCCTGCGACCGCTGGTAGAAATCATCCTCGTGATCGTAGTCTTCGCGTCGCGACTCCCCGTCATGCTGCTAGTGCACGTGCCGATCCTCGCGTCGTGGTGATGGCGTGCGCTCGGCGTGCTTGGCGTGTCGGCGGTGTTCGCGCCTTGTATGGTCGTCGCGCTGCCGTGGTGGTTGCTGCTGGAACGTGCGTAAGACCTCTTCAATTCGTTTTGCTCGAGTCGTGCCACGGCGGCGTTGGCGTTGCCTTGGCCTTCATCGAGCGATCCAAGCCTTCCCTCCATAACTTCGCTCATACCTCGCATCTGGATGTCAAGATTATCGATCTTGTCCTTCATCTCCTTATTAGCCATTGCTTTCTTCTCTTCCCTACGCTCTTTGTACTCCAAACAATCCCAATTTCACGCCGCCTCACTTCGACTGCCTTACGCTTGCGCGCGCCTTCGCGGTGTTATTCCTTGTGGCGCGCGGTTTCTCGAGCGCTTGCGTCTAACGCGCGTGATACGGAAGTGGTCATCAACCCAGGCGAGTCCGAAGATGAGGATGGCGACGACCTCAGTATTTTGTTGGAAAACATGCTAGAGGAGCCATCAAGCCCAATATATCGACCTTCATGCAAGAGGGTCTGGCCAAGAGGATGTAGTCCACAGTCCATGCTAAAGCCTAAGAAGTGCAAGACCAAGCGAGCCCGAATGAAACGTAAGGAAAAGGCTAAGGATTCCAGTTGTTGGTGTAAGCCTTGTCGACGAAGAGACGAGCATGGTGCTCGGAGGCTAGAAGGCGTGGTAAGCAAAGGCTGGAAGATGGAATTGTATGGCGTGCAGGAGATTGTGCGAGGTTGGAAGGTTGGGACCCATGGTCATCGAGAGTGCGTTCGAAGGCGATCGGCGAGAACGGGGTCGAAGGAGCACGGCTACGGGGCGAATGGCGCACATCAGGCGATGATGCGCGCGATCATGAAATCGAGACACGGGCAGTGCTGGAAACACACGGGTGCACCAAGGAGGATTTGGACGCCGGCGATGGTTGGGGCGCACGGGCGTCGGGTAGCGGAGACACGGGGCGCACTGGGCGAGCGAGTAATGGAGACGCGAGCGGAGGCCGAGGCCGAGTAGGAGTAGGCGTCGCGAGTACGGACGTGCATGCGGGAGGAGCAGGGGACGAGCGCGCGATGCAAGCCGAGGGTCGCAATTGGTGCACACATGCGCAAGGCCTAAACCTTGCGGGCTTAGGAGTACCGAGTGATGGGGAGCACGCGCGGGAAGCATGCAGCACGGGCAAAGGATGCGCAAATGGTGACACATGGGAGGAGCGCGCGCGCGAAGCCGCGCGCGACAAGGATTAGGCGACGTGAAGGCGGCGCGCGCGAAGAAGGGCGGCCGAAGTACTTGGGCGTGTGATTGGATTGTTTGCAGTGCAAGCCAAGCAAGATCAAGACATTCTAGTTAATTAGGATTCTATTTCCTTCTTGCACAATAATATCTAGATTGTTTAGTAATTTAATATTTTATTACTTTAATAAGTTTCCTAGGTAGATTAGAATTAGTCATAGTTAGGATCTATAAATAGGGAGCATCCCTCATTGTTTTTCATGTCCAGAAATATGATGAAATAGAAAAGAACGTTTGTTCGAAACCGTGTGTTAGGATTCGTGAGAGTTCGATCATACAAATCGAATTGGTGAGGCTAAGACCCGAGCCAGTTCAAAATCGAGTGAGCGAGGCTAATTACCGAATGAACTCAAGTATCGTGAGAGAGTTAGGCTAATAACTGAGTCGATCACACCTATTGTCGAGAGCAAGGCTGTGGCGAAGCTGTGTTCGAGACAAGTCGAGTGGAACGCAACACACGATTCTTCATCATTGGTGCTGTCGTTGAGAGTGATTGATTGTGTGTTATGTTAAACTTTTTCTATCCCATTCTTTTTCTTTTTTGTCTGATTTTTTGTGCCTTTTGTTCGAATTTTTTTGAATTTTATCCCTTAAATTTCGAAAAATTTCGTGAGTCTAAAAAAAAAAAAAAGGTGTCATCTAGTCTTTTGTTATTTTTTTTCCTCCCTTTGATTCGAATTTATTCGAATTTTCTTCTTCTTCTTTTTCGAATTTTTAGAGTCTTAAAAAAAATGTCTTATGTGCCAATGGACGAGATGGATTCAGAAGATCTCGAATTATTGGAGAGTTTGGAAAGAGAACTCACCCCATAGGAAAGCACGTATCTAGACGAACTCCATGAGCGAAGAAATCTAGAAGAATACGAGCGACAACTCGTAGAGGCCCGAGGAACAAGAGAGGGTGAAGTCCAAAACGGTGAAGATGATGGTGCGCTGAATTTTCTAATCCTTCAGGACAAGGAAAGTCTTGAAGAGGAGGGGAATGATACGGAAGTGTTCATCAACCCAGGCGAGTCTGAAGATGAGGATGGCGATGACCTCAATATTTGGTTGGAAAACATGCTAGAGGAGCCATCAAGCCCGATATATCGACCTTCATGCAAGAGGGACTGGCCAAGAGGATGTGGTCCACAGTCCAACCTAAAGCCTAAGAAGCGCAAGACCAAGCGAGCTCGAAGGAAACGTAAGGCAAAGGCTAAGGATTCCAGTTGTTGATGTAAGCCTTGTTCGAGGAAGAGACGAGCATGATGCTCGGAGGCTAGAAGGCGTGGTAAGCAAAGGCTGGAAGATGGATGGGTATGGCGTGCAGGAGATTGTGCAAGGTTGGAAGGTTGGGACCCATGGCCATCGGGAGTGCGTTCGAAGGCGATCGGCGAGAACGGGGTCGAAGGAGCACGGCTAGGGGGCGAATGGCGCGCATCGGGCGATGATGCGCGCGAGCATGAAATCAAGACAAGGGCAGCGCTGGAAACACACGGGTGCATGAAGGAGGATTTGGACGCCGGCGTTGGTTGGGACGCTTGGGCGTCGGGCAGCGGAGACACGGGGCGTGCTGGGCGCGCGAGTAATAGAGACGCGAGTAGAGGCCGAGGCCGAGTAGGAGTAGGCGTCGCGAGTACGGACGCGCACGCGCAAGGAGCAGGGGACGAGCGCACGACGCAAGCCGAGGGTCGCGATTGGGGCACACATGCGCAAGGCCTAAACCTTGCGGGCTTAGGAGTACCGAGTGATGGGGAGCACGCGCGGGAAGCATGCAGCACGGGCGAAGGATGCGCAAATGGTGACACGTGGGAGGAGCGCGCGCGTGAAGCCGCGCACGACAAGGATTAGGCGACGTGAAGGCGGCACGCGCGAAGAAGGGCGGCCGAAGTACTTGGGCGTGTGATTGGATTGTTTAGAGTGCAAGCCAAGCAAGATCAAGACATTCTAGTTAATTAGGATTCTATTTCCTTCTTGCACAATAATATCTAGATTGTTTAGGAATTTAATATTTTATTTCTTTAATAAGTTTCCTAGGTAGATTAGAATTAGTCATAGTTAGGATCTATAAATAGGGAGCATCCCTCATTGTTTTTCATGTCCAGAAATATGATGAAATAGAAAAGAACGTTTGTCTGAAACCGTGTGTTAGGATTCATGAGAGTTCGATCATACAAATCGAATTGGTGAGGCTAAGACCCGAGCCAGTTCAAAATCGAGTGAGCGAGGCTAATTACCGAGTGAACTCAAGTATCGTGAGAGAATTAGGCTAATAACTGAGTTGATTACACCTATCGTCGAGAGCAAGGCCGTGGCAAAGCTGTGTTCGAGACAAGTCGAGTGGAACGCAACACACGATCCTTCATCATTGGTGCTCTCGTTGAGAGTGATTGATTGTGTGTTACGTTAAACTTTTCCTATCGCATTCTTTTTCTTTTTGGTCCGATTTTTTGTCCCTTTTGTTCGAATTTTTTCGAATTTTATCCCTTAAATTTCGAAAAATTTTGTGAGTCTAAAAAAAAAGTGTCATCTAGTCTTTTGTTATTTTTTTTCCTCCCTTTGGTTCGAATTTATTCGAATTTTCTTCTTCTTCTTTTTCGAATTTTTAGAGTCTTAAAAAAAAATGTCTTATGTGCCAATGGACGAGATGGATTGGGAAGATCTCGAATTATTGGAGAGTTTGGAAAGAGAACTCACCCCATGGGAAAGCACGTATCTAGACGAACTCCATGAGCAAAGAAATCTAGAGGAATACGAGCGACAACTCGTAGAGGCCCGAGGAACAAGAGAGGGTGAAGTCCAAAACGGTGAAGATGATGGTGCGCTGAATTTTCTAATCCTTGAGGAAAAGGAAAGTCTTGAAGAGGAGGGGAATGATACGGAAGTGTTCATCAACCCAGGCGAGTCTGAAGATGAGGATGGCGACGACCTCAATATTTGTTTGGAAAGCATGCTAGAGGAGCCATCAAGCACGATATATCGACCTTCATGCAAGAGGGACTGGCCAAGAGGATGTGGTCCACAGTCCAAGCTAAAGCCTAAGAAGCGCAAGACCAAGCGAGCCCGAAGGAAACGTAAGGCAAAGGCTAAGGATTCCTGTTGTTGGTGTAAGCCTTGTTCGAGGAAGAGACGAGCATGGTGCTCGGAGGCTAGAAGGCGTGGTAAGCAAAGGCTGGAAGATGGATGGGTATGGCGTGCAGGAGATTGTGAGAGGGTGGAAGGTTGGGATCCATGGCCATTGAGAGTGTGTTCGAAGGCGATCGGCGAGAACGGGGTCGAAGGAGCACGACTAGGGGTGAATGGCGCGCATCGGGCAATGATGCACGCTAGGATGAAATCAAGACACGGGCAGCGCTGGAAACACACGGGTGCGCGAAGGAGGATTTGGATGCCGGCGTTGGTTGGGACGCGCGGGCGTCGGGCAGCGGAGACACGGGGCGCGCTGGGCGCACGAGTAATGGAGACGCGAGCGGAGGCTGAGGCCGAGTAGGAGTAGGCGTCACGAGTACGGACGCGCAAGCGCGAGGAGCAGGGGACGAGCGTGCGACGCAAGCCGAGGGTCGCGATTGGGGCACACATGCGCAAGGCCTAAACCTTGCGGGCTTAGGAGTACCGAGTGATGGGGAGCACGCGCGGGAAGCATGCAGCACGGGTGAAGGATGCGCAAATGGTGACACGTGGAAGGAGCACGCGCGCGAAGCCACGCGCGACAAAGATTAGGCGACGTGAAGGCGGCGCGCGCGAAGAAGGGCGGCCGAAGTACTTGGGCGTGTGATTGGATTGTTTGGAGTGCAAGCCAAGCAAGATCAAGACATTCTAGTCAATTAGGATTCTATTTCCTTCTTGCACAATAATATCTAGATTGTTTAGGAATTTAATATTTTATTGCTTTAATAAGTTTCCTAGGTAGATTAAAATTAGTCATAGTTAGGATCTATAAATAGGCATCATCCCTCATTGTTTTTCATGTCTACAAATATGACGAAATAGAAAAGAACGTTTGTTCAAAACTGTGTGTCAGGATTCGTGAGAGTTCGATCATACAAATCGAATTGGTGAGGCTAAGACCCAAGCCAGTTCAAAATCGAGTGAGCGAGGCTAATTACCGAGTGAACTCAAGTATCGTGAGAGAGTTAGGCTAATAACCGAGTCGATCACACCTATCGTCGAGAGCAAGGCCGTGGCGAAGCTGTAACGCCCCACTTTTATTTACTGAAAATCAGAATAAATTTTTCGAATTTATTTTCAAAATCTCTTGAGGCGCGACTCATTTTCAAATCGTACATCAATACTTAACAAAATTTGAATAATCAATAATAGTTTCAAATCTCAATAATCAATCATGAATCATCAATCATCAATCCTCAATCCAATACCCAAAACGGATTTCTCAAATTTCCAAATCCAAGGAGTACACTCCTTAAAAATAATCCAATGTTCAATAATAACAGTAATCAATTTAACAAGCAGAAGCAATAATAAATGATAAGACCACCACTCGCATCCCTTCGTCGTGCCCGCAATTCTAACCTGCATCCATGAAGTGCAGGTGGGGATGAGCACAATTGGAATCCGTGGTGCTCACCACTATGCAATAAATGTTAAACTCAATAATAACCAGTAATCAATAATCGAAAGGTATGGTCTCAGCATGTATACGTAAATAATTAGTTATCCCAACCTCCTATCCCAAGTTCGTTCTCATGTGCACACCTATATCAATAGACTACTGCCGACTATATATCGAAAGCCACGGCCCTCGGCCTTCTGGTCTTACAACGAGTGTCCAGCCAGTAGGAGTCTCCCCCGAAGGCCCGGCCTCGCCATCGGACTTACATCGGGGTACTTATCGCTGACCGAGCACAGCCCTGGTCTCAAGCGACGTGTCTTTTGCAAGGACGTAAAGAGGAGATTACCCCATCGGAGTCGTTCTATATTTACGGGGATAACCATTCGATGGCCGATACAGCTCACATCGAAGGCTACATGATTCACATGCATACTTTGATCATACCACAATTAAAACAGTAATAACATTTAAGGCATAGAAATTTTACAATTACAACCCACCTGGTATCGATTGATAAAGCAATTAGTCAGAAGGTCGTAGGTGGTCGAGACACTGCTCTTCAGACACCTACATAAGTCAAGACAGTCCCATAAGCAACTATCTCGACTCTTGCACAGATAACGAGAATTATGCTTAGTCGAATAACATCGACTAAGGAACTCGTGGAAGTTGTGAAGTTGGAATATTAGGACAACTCCTAGACTCGACCAATTAATTACCAAATCAATTAATAGATCACATAAAGGCAGGCAATAATTGTTCGACACAAAACGGGTCAAAACGGTTAAAAAGGCTAGTTCGAATTTTATAAGAATAGGGATAAGGAGAGTTGGACTTGTTATTTCAATTCAAATTTTTACTGAGTGTTAAGGGCTGAAAAATACATATTTTCACCAAAGGAAAACCATTTTACATGCTTCTAACTATTTTAAATATTTTACTCAAAATCTGACCAGAAATTAAATTAAATCATTTAAAATAGCTACAGCTCGAATTTAAATCTCAAATTTTTACAACAGTAAGATAATCTGGAGAAAAACAACATATTCAAAAATTAGCAAAATCGGACAGGAACTCGATTTTATATGAATTTATTACAAAACAGCCCAGAATTAGTTTTCGAGTTTTGACAAGGCTACAGGCCATATAAAATTCTCAAATTGTAACCACAAGTACTACAATTCAAACATTACAACATATCCAAAAATCAGAATTGTTGGGTAAACACACGATTTATAGTGATTTTAACAAAAACCGGCTGCAGCATGTTTTTTAAAAATTCATAACTAATTCAATACACATCGAAACGACGCGAGGCCAAAGGCGTTGCGTCAAGGACGATCCTAAGTCCAATAACCCACAGCACTTCCACATAAAATACTACTCGAAACTCAGTTTGATAATTTTCAAAGTGACGGCAATCACTTTGATACCCAATATTAACAATATATCCTAATTACACACGAAAGCATTCCGAACGCACGTAAGTAATTCAAAAAACACACGGTCAGCAATAACAATATATATATTCGAGCACTTAAACACATAATCAAATGATAAACGAGTGGGGTTCGAGTGCAAGTACCGTTCTCGGGGAATAATCGAAAACCAACGGAACGAAAGGGATGAACGGTACAATTAGTAAGTTCGACGGCTTCGCTTCGTCTCACGCAGAGGAGTAGCAGGTCGGGGTTGCCGGAAAACGCAGGTATGATGATCGCCGGCCTGCTGAGTGATGATAATGATCACGACGATGGTGCTGCAGGACTGCTGGGCAGCGTTCGGAACCAACACTGAGGTCGCGCGTGGAACCGCGATGAGACTCGCTCGCGATGGGGACGTCCGCGGTGGCCACGGTGATCAGAGGCTGCAACTGGAGGCGGCGATGGTGATGGTTCACGCTCAGGGGTGCGAGGTTGGCCGGCTACGTTTAACGCTCCGACGGAACCCGACGGACCTCAACGATCACGGTAGGCTCTTCGACGGAACTCGACGGGTCCCGCAAGCTGAGATTGAGCGTTGATGGAGGAGGTTGAAGGCCGCTGGTGCTGCTCCGGTGGTGGTCTGCTGCAAGAACGATGATGGCGATAACGGATGATGATGGTGATGATTACGGTGGCGCTGTTCACCGGGGAGAACAATGATGATCGGGGATGGATGATGATGATGGTTCGAAGGTGGTTGATGATGGCGGCGAGAGAGCAGGTTGAAGGAGAAGGTTTTGCTGCGGGTTAATTCTCTGCTGAGGTGCGAAAATATGTATATATACATATATACATATATATACCTTATATAATTAGGTTTAATTTTTCTTGTTTTGCAAGAAAAATACCACACGCACACACACGCACGTGAGGGAGGAAACCGGACCGGGTCAAAAATTCGGTTCATCGGGGTATTACAGTCTATCCACCTTACAAAGAATTTTGTCCTCAGAATTCGAAAATGAAAATCTAGAAAGCGAAATAAAATGCAAGGGAACTCAGAACTCAAAGTTCGGGTATCGCCTCCGAAGTTCGGCCTCCCTTTCCCAAGTCGCCTCCGACTCGACATGACGGCTCCACAGCACCTTCACCAAGCTCACTGCCCAGTTCCTCAACTGATGGACCTTCTGGTCCAAAATAGCTACCGGTGCCTCCTCGTAGGTAAGGTCTCGCTCAACCTGCAGTTCGCCGAAGTCCACCACGTGAGTGGGATTATGCACGTATCTCCGCAACATGGAGACGTGAAACACATCGTGCACTCCCGACAAGCTAGATGGTAAAGCCAGCCGATAAGCCAAGTTCCCGACTCGGGCAAGGATCTCGAATGGCCCAATATAACGCGGTTTGAGCTTTGCCTTCTTCCCAAAGAGAATCACGCCCTTCATAGGCAAAACCTTCAGGAAGACACTTGTACCAACATAAATCTCATGGTGATTACATAGCCTCCAATCGAGACTCGAGACTCCGCTCGACAATGCATCACCACAATTATATGCCTGCTCAAGGAACATTCCTCATACGGTTAAGAGATTAACAACAAAAACTCACTTAATCGAAAATTAAGTGGTCATACATCGGTTCGGCGGAACTTGGAGCTCTTGGTTTAAAGTTCAAAAGACAAGGTTCAAGAGGTTTCTCAACACATTTCAGTACAGAAACTGGTTGAACGGTTCAAAAACGAATCCACAGTATAGGACTGACTACAAGGTCATGGTTTGGCCGTATACACTGACCTGGGGAGTTTGGCGTTCGGTGATGGCGGCGGCAGCTCTCGTGCGAGTCAACGGTCAGCCACTGCAGTTGGCCTCACGTCTCTCAGCACGGGCGTGCGGGCTCGGCCACCACTTCGCGTGGCTACACCCAGTCAGGTTCGGCACTCGGTTTGAGGTTCAAAAAAAATAAATTCTCTAACTCTGGGTTCATAATTTCCAAGGTAAACAAAAGGAATAATGGTTTTACACAAAAGTTCTAAACTACAAAAATTTAGGGTTCAATCCAAGATGATTCCATTAGGTACAAACAATTTCAACGGTTTCAAGGGTGTCAAGCTTTATAAGGCATAAAACGAGTTCCAAGTCCACCACCTTCTTAAATCAACACAATATCCACTGAATAACCAACGATAGAGGTCGGGAAAACTTCTCAAAAGAAACAAGAATCAGCTCCTTAACCAGGAATAACCCCAATCCCAGCGGTCATTACCGAGTAATGAAACGCTTTGCTCATTCGACTCTTCCGACTAACAGTGTCGGCCGTTACATCAGTTTTCGGTCAAGCAACTAACAGTGTCGACCGTCTTAAATGAGCTTCTAAAGATTACGATGAACGAATGTCAAAAGTGAAGGTGACTCTGCACTCCATGGTGTGCATGTACCAGACACGACTACCCTCCTTAAAAGATTCCCAAAATCCTTTAAGGTGGAACAAAACTTCTCGACTCCCTAATTCATACTGAATTAGAGGCATCACAACACAATTAAGGAAATCTAGAGTTTATCATGAAACGCTAGAGTTCACCAATTTCAAAGATGGAT